GCCAATTTATCCTAAATTCCAAACACTAGACCTTTAAACTGTTTTTGCAAAAAATGAATTTTAGATTTATTAAAATAATAGCATTTTTGTTTTGTTTTTTAAATGTAGCATGCTGCGCAAACTGCTGTACACTTTACTTATATTCCATCTATCCCCTTTTCATTGCTCAACAGCTATAGAGTGAACGGAAAAATAGGCAGTTTTATAGTGTTCATCTGGGAGATAGTGTAAACTGATGTAGTTTATATGAAGAGGGGGCTTGCAAGGGGGAAAAACAGATTCAAAGGCCTTTTATCACCACTGCATGGCTGCTCAAGTACAATGCTTTAGACAAGATAATGATGACAGTTAGTGGCTACAGTCTTTTAGGGCAAACACAAGTCTAAATGATAAAAAATCTTGTGTAGATTCACACTTAACACTCTGTCCACTAATTTCCACCCTGCTGGGTCTTGTGGAGGAACACCCCACCCCCAACCTCAGCAGTCTGGTGGCCCCACAGGGCAGGCTTGTGGTCCTCAGCCAGTGTTTGTGAAAGGGCCCCAAGCTGCCCTGCACCGTGGCAAATGAGGCGCGTGACTCATCAGACCAAACATGGGATTAGCTGGTAATGATCTGGCAAATGGTTTTGAAATAATAATTATCTGCCCCTGTGCTGGATCTACAGAGAGAGAGAGAGATGGTGGAGACATGAAGGGAGAAAAAGAGGTGGAATACAAGAGAAGGCAAGCAATGGCAAGTGGAGGACAGTGATAAAAAACAGCACTACAGACACCAACAAACATGACACTTTTAGATGCACTTGTCACATCACTAGCAGAGTATTTAGATCCAATGTGTGAAAATGACTTTAAATATAGCCCTCTATGTGTTTGCAATGTCTAACAGTAACAGGGAAATACTCTGAGTTGGCTCATCTGTGCTTATGGAAGACAACAAAACATCAATCACAAGCAACAAAATCAAGGAAATGTTCTGGGCTGTTGAAGTGTTGTTGATCTTTGCTGCCATCTGCAGGAGGCTGTGTAGACAAACACGTTGAACTGCATGCTGTAATTAACTTGTAACCCTTAAAGATCCCTGTGGGGCTCTGGGTGATGGTAGCAGTATTTAAGCACAGCAGAAAAAGAGAATGTTAGGACAAAACAGATAAAAAGAGAAGAGAAGAGAAAGTCTGTAGAAATTATAAATACATAAGAATGAAACAAAGCAGAGAATGTTAGGAGCTCCCACGAGTGGTTTTGATTCAAAAAGGAATCAAATCACATTTATTTGTCACATACACAGTCATACAACATGTAGTGAAATTATTTTATGGCAGAACCCCAGAAAGCAACTAACAAATAGGAATATTAGAGTAGAATACGATCAAATAATTTTCAAAAATGAACGATGAAATAATATAAGAAAGAGAAATTAGAAACAGCCCGTTCTCACTCCCAACTCGTCATATAACGCCACTTTGTCAGTGATTTCTGTGTTGGATGCTGACATACAGAGCCACATTACATGGTGGTATGCTAAACATCGGGCAGCGGCTATTTCTGACGCTGCCAGCCACAACCGAACTCGTCAAATACCCCCACTTTGGCAATTGATGTCTGCATCAGACACTGACGAGCAGACACTTCGTAGTGGTATAAAATGCACTAAATGACTATTTCCGACGTTGCTGGCACCTATTGCAGTATAAAAAGTGATTAAGTCCCTCAAGGTTGGGTGGGAGGGGAGTTGGCAGCCTGTTCTCATTCTGAAGCTGTTGAATGCTGCCACTTTGTCAGTGATTTCAGCGTCAGACACCAATGCCAAAAGCTACCTTTTGTGGCAGTATGATATGTCACCGGGCAATGACTGTTTGTTACGTGGCTAGATGGAACCTTTCGCGGTATTATAGTATGCCGCCAGCTGGCCAGATCACACCTGTCCCGCCGGTATGATATGCAGACGGACGGCGTCAGTTCATAACGTGGTTGGACGGCACCTGTCCAGATGGTATGATACCCCTCTGGAGAGTGCTTGAAACACTGCTGGTAAAGACATAATAGAGCTGGGATGTCCTTATAAGATGGGTGGTGGATGGGTCCAACAAACCCTGGACTTTCACCTGTGAGGCTGGTGTTTGCTACCTGTATGAATTTACAACCAAACCATGTTTTGTTCTTTTTTTCTTTTCTTTTAACTTAACCACGTGCTTTTGTCGATGTCCCGGCTTTGGTTGCAGCATCTCAGAATATCAACAGCAGATGAAGGAGGATACTTAGCACGTAATATGTAGATGTGACCACAGACAAAGAGGTGACATGTAACAACTTGGGATGAGAACGTATTAGAGATGGATGTTACAAACCAACACTAACTTTTAACTGGGAGCTCATTGTTCATTTCCTGTGTGAAAGCAAGAGTCAGTTGAGTTATTTTAATAACAATGTAGTATGCTAGTATGTGTAGCATGCTACAGTAGTAACGTATGTCACATGATGTCACGTGACGTGGCATGATGTTGGTAAGAACCATGCTAATTTTAAAGGATCCGTGTGTAGGATTTAGGGGCATCTATTGGCAGAGATGGTATATAATATTCATAACTATGTTGACTTTAGTTTATAATCACCTTAAAGTAAGAATCTCTATTTTCGTTGCCTTAGAATGAGCCATATATATCTACGTATGGAAAGCGTCCTTTTCCACCATGTTGTTCTACAGTAGCCCAGGACAGTCAAATCAAACCTCAAATCTACATAGGGCCATATGCGATTTTGTGTCAACCACCATAGTTCTCCTGCACACTTGGTACACGGAAGAAGTTTCAGTTCTGCAGCCTCACCACTAGATGCCACTAAATCCTACACACTGGACCTTTAAACAGTGCTCCTTTTGTCTTTCTTTCTCATTTGACCACTGTACCAGATTTTGCATGATATTATTAATAAACGTGTGTTCTTCACCATATAGTTGCCTTGAGCATCATATCTTTTTGATTGTGTAATTCCGACATCTGACACATGAAGTCATATGAAATGCAGCCCTTACCAATGAGAACATCACAGTTTAATATGATGGTAGAGAGTTTGGACTGAGGGTTATGCAACACTGTTTTGTCGTCTCCCTGGTTTGGTGCTGTGATCCTACATGATTCCGTATGATGTGGACATTGTTGCATTAAGCTGAGTAAATGTAATGATGCTTTAAGTTTTTTAGTATATCTGTGTCAGTGCATACAAGCTGTACCAGAATCCTCTCTGTTGTCAGATTTGTATTGTAATAAACTTATATTCAAGTAAGGACAACTGAGGCTCATTGAGTTTGTTCTATTATTCAGCTAAGACTGACCTGAAGTACAAGTTTTCCACATCACCCCCATTTCATATGTTCTGTAATTACTGCAGGCACATCCCTGTGAGCATCTTTATTTAATTTGAATTATAAAAAGGTGTCCAATGAAAGCCACAGTTGTGTAGATTTTGTGTCATTTGATAGACTGTGACTGGTGGAAGCACTGTGCTTTGGTTTCTATATTGATATGACTGGGTCAAGTTTGCAGCAGGTAGTTCAGTGTATGTAAACATGAATGTGAAACATTAGTGAAAAGGTCATCACTCTTGAACATATGATTCACAAACAAAACACTGTATCTACACTGAAGTTAAAAACCTGACATTTATGGTCCATGTAATCTTCATATTGTAAACTGATTTTATGTTCAAAACATACATTAAAGAAATATTTAAACATACAATTTGCTTCTGCTTCAAATTTTCACTGGTTTAAATTAAAGATCTAAAACTTTTTCTGACCTCAAAAGATATATTTCTCTTAGTTGCTAAGTTGTTAAAATGCATGTCAGTGAGCACCAGCAGTAGCTCTCCTGAGGGAATGAACTTTCAAAATAAAAGTCTCAGTTGGTAAGGGGTTTACAGAGAGGCCTGGATGGAGCTGGAATTTCAAACTAAAAGCCCCCACATGGTAACAAGAGTTTACTAGGAGGGCCTGGGAAAAGGCTTGATTTTCAACATAAAAGCCCCTAGATGGTGACAGGATTTTACTAGTGGCCCTGAACAAGGCTGGATTTTCATAAATAATGCCTTCAAATGGAAACATTAGTTTACTGGGGGGCCCAGGCAAAGCAGAATTGTCAATATAATCATAATAAAAAAGCCCTTATATTGTAATATAATCGAATTTGAATTTGAATTTTTTTGATTTCAATACTTGTAGTGACATAACACAATATTTAGCCTAACTCTTCAGTGTACTCTACTTTAAAATTATGTTACTCTCCATGCTTTTATCTACAGACTTCATTTAAGCTTTAAACAGGTCACAAAGTAATTCTGCTTCTCCTGTAGCCCACATTTTTTGATTGACTTGTGCATTCTTTCAGCTACAGAAATCATGTAAATGTCAAAATGTTATGCTCTTTAAGGACATTTATGCTTGTATCAAACTTTTTTTAATGTTGTATGCCTTTTAAAGTACAAACAATTTTGTCTTTTACCCTTTTCAGTTAATTTTAACTTCCCCTTTGACAGTATTTCAGTTTAGCTTCCAGCTTTTCTAGCAGTGTTTTTCAGCTCAAAGCTTCTTGAGGTAGTGCAATTTAGCTTCCAGCTCTGCAAGCTTTACATTTTAACTTCAGGGTTTTAGGTTTTCCAGTACAGTGCAATGCATTTGCACTGTAAAATTTCTGTATTTTCAGCAATGCTTTGCAATTCACTTTAGCTGTCAGCATTCACATGCATGTTCTGCAGAAAATACATTTTCTAGTTAATGTTATTATTTCCACTTGTGCATTTCCTGCAAGGACAAGTCAAAATATCTACCAGAAAAGGGTCTATTAGAACTTCTCAGTTCATCAGCATGACAGACATCATGACATCAACAGCTCTGTCACATCTTTACTAGCTGCATATGGACTTTTATTTTGAAGTCAGAGAACTCCTGTCCTTGAATCCTATTAGCAGATTAGCCCTTCATAAGCAAACCCTTCAGCTGCCCTGGAGAAAGTCTAGACGGGTATCCTGTATTACACTGTAAATGAATACAACATCATAGCTGTGTAAGATACCATGTTTTCACAATGTCAGATGGAAACCAGAGAGATTCAGAAGAGGACGATGATGATGATGATGATGATGATAGTGAGAGTGGATCAAGCAGAGGACGAAATGGTTCATCTTTAATTGCTGTATTCAGTAGTTTCATTTCAGGTGGGTTACTGGCCTTTTTCATGTCAGTTTAAATTAAAAGCATAGGAGCAATTAACACTGTTTATTAGGACTGTGCTCAATTTAAGTATCTCAACCATTTTGGAGAGCCAGCATGCACAGTAGTCTACTGGAGCATGATTGCACACCTGGAAGTAGGCCTACTACAGCCATTATTATTAATATGAAACCTGTGCTACTCCTGCAAATTATCTGCGTGATAAAAAAAGACCATATTCCTCAAAGAACTTGCATAACTTTGTTGTCACTTGAAGCATTCGTTAAGTGCCGGCTTCCTTCTCGTATCCTTTGCAATGTATGATACGAACAGTAGAGGGCAACGGAGGGCCGTCGCAACTTGATGACAACATTTGTTGACGTCGTCGTCAAAGTCTGCGACAATTAATGTAGTCTTTACACCGTGCCGAAGCACGAAGGCAGGAGTTAGCTCGCAATTTATCACTAGACAGCGAGTAGCTTATGAATTTGCTTGTTAATCATTTTATTAACACGGCAAATATTAACTTTAGTCGACAGTATATAACTGGTTGTTATTAGTTAGCATGGTAGACAGCACGCAATGCCATTTTAGCTTATCTTAGCTTAGCCGTTTAGTTAAGCAGCATTGCTCAACACAGTTTCAACAGAGATGTGTCAAAGAAAAGGAGGAACTTGTTACGTTGTCGGTAACTTTTAACAGCTGGGTGTGGCTACAGCACTGTCGTTCATGTACCATTGTAGTGAATTCCTGTTGGTTAAATAGGTTTTCTTCGGAACTGGGGCTGCCTCAGAAGCGTTCACAATATGTTGAACATTCCGACCCAGTCGTTCCCTGCGCCCTGCTCCCAGCAGCGGGTCACTCCGTCCGGACAGTCCGGGAGGAACAAGGTAAGTTATCACTCTAACCACAGCAGAGAAAAACAGTTTACCTTTCTGTAGACTCGGTACCAAACTCTCTATCTAGGGACTGTTACTCGTCAGAGGAGGTGGGTGGCTGAGGTGTGACTTGGTGTTTTTTGCCCCTCTTGAAGCTACAGATATTTTTCTATGAGCCTCCCTAAGGGACCGGTGGAAAATGCACGACCCTCCCCCACTGTAAATTGATAATTAGACTTTAAAACTTATCTTGTGATAGTTGATAGTTAAAAGTTTAGGAAGAAGTGCTGGAGACAGCCTCAGTTTTTCACTCTTATCATGCATACTGGTTTGTTCATGCAAAGGGTTTAATTTTGGCCAAATTTGAAATGAGATGTGTAGAATAAAGTGCTATTGGTAAAATATAACGTACTTTAAGCTCTGTTAATTTTTTTTTTATGATGGGCAGTTTCTGGCTGGTAAAAATGATGTAATTTTTGTGATTTTTAAGAAACATCATCTTATGTAATTTTTCTTTAAAATCAGCTGTAAAATAAAACCAAAATAGAACCAGTTACAGTTGTATGCCCCTTCCCAAAGTCAAAATAAAAAACATGAGTCCATCCCCAGTGCTTAAAAAATATTTGACATATGTCCCCCTTTTTGCACCACCCCCTCCCCTCTCATTAATAACAAACAGTCCCTAAGCTAAATTCCTCAGAGATATAATCATACATAAAATCAACAGTATAGCATTTGAGAATTTAAAATAATAGCAACAAGAACAGCTGGTCTGTTATTTCACTTTCTCTGTATTGCTTTGGCTCATTTCTTGAAATAGTGTTAACATTCACATGTGTTGAAACAGATTTTATGGTACTTCAGGGATGTACAAAATATTGGAAGGAACACCATCAACATCCTCTGGTTAACAACAACAAACCATTCCCCGATGACATGTGCATGGTGGAAGCTTACATTATCCCACAAAGATACAAACATTAGCAGTACATGCCTTACCAAACCTTTTTCAGCCTCAGGGATGAGATCTTTGTACAGGGTGTGCAGGAGTTTTTGGTTGTTGTATAGACCAATTTAGGGAATATTTGTACTCACACCATTCTCAGATATTACAGGATACATAGTGATCCAATAGCATATCCACCGTGGCTCAGTGGCCTGTAATATTTTGGCCAGATTGAAAGCAGCCTCATCCACAAACACAAGGGTGTGAGAGATTTCACTTCCCTCCATCATTATAATGTCAAATCAGTATTACAATAGAATCATAATGCCTTGAGTTCTTTTCTATGTCTTCAATAACTAAATACAGGCCTATTTATTGTAAGTATATACAGGCCATAATGAAGGAAAACCACCACTGCTTTACTGTACATACTGAAAAGTGCAGGGCAGACAGTGGGTGCCTGCTTAGTTATAAAACTTCAAAAGTTTATTACCATGCATGACTTTCTGAGTCTTTCAAAGTCTTGTGTTCGACACAAAATATGTGTCGCTTGTAGACTACAGCAAGCATAAACCTGGCTTAATATTCTGTTACCACATTGACTCAGCATGACTTTGCACTTAGTTAAATTTGGTCCTAACATGCCTTAACACATCCTCCAGAGGAAAAATAAATAACCAGATTATTCTCTGATTCTCCCCTCCTTAATCAGGTGGCCTTAAAGCCCGGCCACAGTTTAATGGACTGGATTCGGTTCTCCAAGAGTGGCAAAGATCTGACAGGGCTCAGAGGACGCTTGATCGAAGTTACTCAGGAAGAGCTGCAGAAACACAACAAAAGAGAGGACTGCTGGACGTGCATACGAGGTGAGCCTGCAAGGTGGTCTGACATGGGACAAGGGCTCATTCACATTCAAGGGGAACACATGAATAAGTTAACCTGCATGGCAGCTGCAGTATTTTTTATTTTTTTTTTAAGATATTTTTTTTGGGCTTTTTAGCCTTTAATGTATAGGACAGACAAGTGTGAAGGGTGAGAAAGAGAGAGAGAGGGAGTGACATGCAGCAAAGGGCCACACGCTGGAGTCGAACCCGGGCCGCTGCGGCAACAGCCTTGTACATGGGGCGCCTGCTCTACCACTAAGCCACCGGCGCCCCAGCAGCTGCAGTATTTACCAGGCTGGAGAATAGTTGCAGTAGTGTTTTGTATATGTGATGGCCGGCTGAACTGGCACGGACAGTTTTGCCCACAGGGCTTAGTCTTTAAATATAAATGTCAATCCCTAAATTGACAGTTATACAGGTTTTTCTACTGTGGTTAATAGTGATTTGATTGGCACAAAATCAGAACATTTTTAATGTCATTATTTTAAATCGGTGTCTGTGCTGTTACCAGTCTGTCAGCAGAGGGCACTGGATCATGATACAAGCTCTGTATGTTTTCAGGTATGGTTTACAATGTGACCCCCTACATGGACTACCACCCTGGTGGAGAGGACGAGCTGATGAGGGCAGCTGGGATAGATGGCACTGACCTGTTTGACCAGGTATGGAAGGTGATGGAGAAAGCAGAGTTCTGTTGTTTCCATGTAACTGTTAAAATCTAAAGTTACAAACGGTAAAGATGCAGTCCTGCCTTTCTAGGTATTAAAGTTAGAACAAAATGACTTGTTTACCTTGAAGGTTTTAATAATCCAGTAGTTGATATTTTTTAAAGACACTGCAATTATTTTATATATCTGTGAAGTTTACTTTGGTAAAAATCCAGTAGGTATAGTTTTAACAATGAGTGATGAACACAGTGGTCTGCCAGTGTACAAGTGAAGAGAGCTTCTCTGCTAATGCGCTGCAGCTCTTACTGAAGGCCACAGGCTTACCAGTTTTTGTAGCCATCCATCCGAAAATCTTAATTCTAGTTTGCTTTTCTTTCTGTTTTCACGTTGCTCTTTTTCAAAATACATTTTCCATTTTATACAGAATTTGCTACTAATAAAATATGTTTTTATGAGCTTTGAGCTGATAAAAACATTCCTCTGCCTGCTGTTTGTAAGTCATCAGGGCTGAATTAAAGGATGTCTGCATGAGCAGTGAATATAAACTTGCCCTGAAACATGCCCCAGGACCTTGGGAGGACTAAAACATATTTTGTTTTGGCTGTGGGTATGGGTGACTTGATTGGTTTACATGTGTTCCCATGGTAATGTGTGTGTTTGTACATAGGTTCATCGCTGGGTGAACTATGAGTCCATGTTAAAAGAGTGCCTGGTGGGCAGGATGGCAACTAAGGCCACAACAGCAATTAAAGGTACACACACGCACACGCTCACAGTGAGCACTAAAGGCTGTGCTTTAGCTGAGTTGCAGTGGCAGCAGATCAGTGTTCCATTCCCACTAATGCAGTCACTGTGGGTTCTCTCTCTTTAATAAAACAAATGGAGTGAGTGTAACGTCTCTGATGTTCCACATTTTCAGCCACAAAGTTGAAATTATGATGATGTCTTTGTGGTTTATCTGACAGTTGCAATTTGAGGTACTGGACAATGGGGGGAAAAAATGAAAATGCAGAAAATAGCACCACTTTTATATGTACTCATCAGCCAAAACATTAAAACCACTGACAGGTGAAGTGAATCGATCTTGTTATAATGCAATGTTCTAACTTATATTATGCAGATCAGATTTTAGGTTTTTAATTATTTATTTATCCTCCGAGTAGTACAGAGTGCTTACCTGCCCTGTTAGAGCATACTTCACATCCACAGCAGTCACAGGCCTTCTCTTAGCGTTCTTGTTATAGTTGGGTGACAACATCAACGATCGTGTTTCACAGGAAGACCTTCAGCGCACCGCAGGTCTCCTCACCGAACTGACTTGAGATTCGCTTCACTCCACCATGGCAAGCCAACATACCACAAAAATTGTTCAGGAATGACCCTAGGAACGTGACAGAGAGGTCAAGGTGTTAACTGGGTCTCCAAATTTCCCAGATCCCAATCTGATCAAGCATCCTTGGGATGCTCCAGCAACCCACCTTGCAACCCACCTTGCAACCCGCAGGACTCAAAAGATCCCCCACCATTCAAGTGATTCAAGTGACATTCATATGATTGCCAGGACCCAAGGTTTCACAGCAGAACATTGCATTGTGACAAGATGATCAATGTTATTCACTTTACCTGTCAGTGGTTTTAATGTTTTGGCTGATGGGTGTATGCTACTGTGTAGTGAAATAATACAAGTAACTAACTTACGTATACATAAAAAATATTATTCAAAAATAAATATTTGATGATATTTGATAAATTATTGCCTTGAGCACAGTTATTTAAATAAACAAATTAATTTTTATCAAACATGATTTGTTATGTGTTCATGCAACAAAATACCTCCTAGTCCCAAAAGTAGTACCCAGTATGTGTCACTCTGAGAGCTTCTATAAAGTCAACTTGTTCCTGTCAGATGGTTGATAAATATGGGCCCTGATGCTGCTCTGAACGTCTTATGCACAGAAATATGACAAATGAAGATAAAAAGGGATTTACAAAAACACACACCTTTATTTGTTTATTTATTAGGATCCCCATTAGCTTTGCCCTAAAGTGCAGCTAGTCTTCCTGGGGTCCACCTTAAAAACCTGTTACACATTAAACCAAATTAAAACAATGCAGTACCTAAAAATAAACACACACCTTACTGATGTGTAGGGCAGCTTGATTGTCATATAGTATCAAAAGGAGTGAAAACCCAGTGGCTGCCTGGAAATCTTTCTGAAGAATTATGATATGTCTCAGTGGTGGTTAGCATTCATTTATGTTTTTCTCTCCAGCTATCATCTCTCCTGCACCTCCGACTGGCCTCGCCCCACCCAAGTCAGTGGCTCCTCCTCCAGACAAAGACGCTCGGCCTCGGTATGGAAGAACTTAGGAGAAAACAAATATTGTACAGATGTCTCAGAATGTCACAAACTACATATTCAGTGACATCATTATTATTATCTACTATCTGTTGTGTAGATTCGACTGGTTCCAAACTGATGCGACTGTTCATCTGGTCATTTATGCTAAGAGGAAGGTAATTACCCATCAACCATACACACATCCATGAGGCATCATATCAGTCACTTAGCTCTGGTAGCATACGGTGAAAACTGCAGTTGAAAATGTCAGTAGGTGGTAATGACCCATCTTGATCTTCACCTTTGTCCACCAACCATGTGAGGTTTGGGAGGGGATGATGATTGAGCTGCCTTTCTCTGTCTAATCATTAAACATAACTTTGGTCAGAATTTTTGATGAAAGCTTCAAGCCTATAAAAGCTACTCAACTAGTCGATTTTAGTAAATGTTTGAAGGGTGAAGTTACATTTTAATAAAAGTTTAAAGTTGCCTGGTTGAAGATGGCACATTCATGCATATTGGTTTTTCCTGTTAGATTCCCAGCTCAGGCTGTACCATTGTTGACCTTAAGGCGGGTGTTCTACGACTGGAAGTGCTGTTGGGGAAAATGTCCTACCTGATACATTTATGTGAGTAGAGTTATGACTTTCTATATTTTAATGTGCTGTCCTCTGCAAGAACATAAGTGAGACACACTGAGGTGCAGCACATATAGTTTACTTCTTTGCTCTTGCTCCTGTAAAGCTCTTTGTAACTGCTGTTTTTGAAAAGTGCTACACTGTACTAGTGTATAAATAAAGTTTGCTTGCTTGCTTGCTTGATAGTAGCAGGATTGCAGGCAGCAGAACATGCACTGTATGCGTAAAGAATGAAAACTGGTAGATGCAGACAGAGAATAATATCACATAACTCCATATAAAGATCCTTTCAGAGTTATGTGTCTGCTCCTCATCAGTGAACTCCCTCAGACAGCCTTGTTATGATCAGTCCTGGTTCCACATCTGAATTTCTAAAATGGTTATCAGAGCCTGACAGATAATGCATATATATATATATGTGTGTGTGTTTGCATTTGCATTTTTTTGCAGTGATCCCTCAAATGTGGTTATCAAACACTTGTGACAAAGATATGTAATTAGAGATGTGAACATTAATGGTGTCCTCCTCAGCTGAGCTGTAACATTAGCTAGCTCAATGGTACTTGGTCAGTTAGCAGTAGCTGTATGCATCCTTCTGTGCAGTGTTATGGTTGGGGATACGGGTGTAGTTCACTGCCCTCTGCCATATTTTTATTTACGCAAAACAAACCCATGTTGTGTGTTGGCATGCGTCTGGGAGACTGTTGCTAACTGTGAGTTTTTAAAAATGATAATACTAGGCATTTGGAATTTTATTGTAAAACCGGACACTTTTTCACCCCTATTTAGGACAAAGTCAACAAACGTGAAAAACTTGCAGTAAGAACCTGCACTGTGCTGGGTCACCAGAAATTTAGAAGGAGTGTAACAAACACTACCATTGCAAAACGTATGGTGTAATTGTTATTTACACTATTTAGACTACAGTCTGTTATATATTTTAACACTAGTTTGTTGTATTATTATGTATTAATATAAGATGTTTCTTTTATTGGAATCTTCCATAAGTGAGGAGGACTCTATGATTCACTGACTGTTTTACTGAAAAATATGGCTGCTGAAGCTAAGAAGCATTTGAATGTTGTATCTGCGTTTGCTTTCAAAGTATGCTGTCAGACAAGGTGCTGACATCATGGCACCAACCAGGATTTGCATGCAAGCGTAATATTGGACATGGATACACTGTACACTATATTACGCTGCTTGGCACATGACTGGTTGTAAAATCTACTGATTTTCATGCTCTTTCAGGTCTAGCTGATGAAGTTGAGGAACAGGTCACTGGTAAGACAACAGCTTGATTAGATCAAAAAGAGAAAGATAATATCCGCAAAATCTGTGTTACTGTCATGTTATTGTTTTTAAATTGTCATTTCTTCCAACAGTCCACACTGCCTTCTCAGTGGGCAAGATCCAGGTCAGCATACGCAAACAGAATAAAGGAAAATGGACAAGTCTTGGTCAACCACTGGAATTTCACAATACATTTCTACGCAAAAAAGACAGAGGTGAGAGCCGCTGTACATCTGGACATATTACGCACTACAACTGGCTTTTGTCTTAAGTGGGAAAAGTTACAATCAGCATTCACTCCTGGCACAAATTTTTTACACAGAGTGCACTATAGCGCCACAACAAAGTTCTTCTGTTATGCTGCCTTTGCATTTTTACACAGAAGCAAACACCATTGGCATCATGCAGCTCCAATATGCGATTATAGACAGCATGCCGTCATCCCAGATGCAAAAGAGCCGTGACGGCATAGCATGTAACACAACAGCGTCGGCTTCTAGTGTGACATCAAACATATGTATGTGTCAGCAGAGCTTTATAAACAACAACAATGGCAAAACAAGGCAGTAACAATCATTTATCGTCCCTATATGGACGCTGATCTTGCCTCCATGATCCCTGAGCAGAGGGTGAGGAGCTCCTAATTGTTTTCCCAATTTGTGGACATTTACAGCTGCTGTTCTTCTTCAAGTCAGCAGCTAATTCCTACCACCTACTTTTTAAGTCACACACATAATACATTGTTTAAACGTCACACTGTCCTACCCATGGTCCCATCCTACCCATTGTCCTGTCCTGCCCATGGTCCTGTCCTGCCCATCGTCCTGTCCTGCCCATCATCCTTTCCTGCCGGCTGTCATGTTTATACAAACACCATTGCGGCGCTGTTACTACCATCCATGGCAGTTTAAAGGCAAGACCACTCTGTATCCCAACTGAGCGATCGTACCTTATATACAGCAAGGTGAGGCGGGATAAGGACATGATACTCCCACCTTGGAAGGGCAGTGTAAAAGCAGCTTAGTAGTCACAGGTATTTATCGGCTCCATCTCCCATCAGCAGTGACAGAAATATGACACCCCGGTGGAAGTGCTAATTTTCCCCTCTTTTCTGGCATAATGCAATAGCCATCTCTGTCCAAGCAGCACACAAAAATCATCCAAATTAGTTCGTACCAAGTTTGAAAGAGAGACTGAATAAGTAACAGATATACAAAAAGAAGTAATCACCGTTAACATGTTGTAAGTTGATAATGAGTCTACATCAATGATCTCCTTTTTACAGCTCTCTACTATAGGGATTGTGTGTTGGTGTCTAAAACTGCGGTGAACCACAACACCCATGTGTTCAGATTGCAACTTCCACGTGGGACTGTCATGCATGTGCCTGTTGGAAAACATGTCTACCTCAAAGCCCTCATTCAAGGTAAGGAACCAGGCAGACAGACCACACTACTGAATATAGTGAGTGTTGTCCTCTGTACTTAAGCAAAAACAGTTGTTTTTCAAACAAATTGAAATAAACTTCTTCATATTAACAAGAAAAACATATATGCTACTACCTTCAGTGGTGAATGTGAAGTACACAGGATTCCAGTAGGACTCTGCCAAAGTTTCATTGTGATATACTGAGTCAGCAGAAAAAGGGACTTGTTAGGTTATTTACCATGGCTGCATGCTTCCTTATCATCCACAACCACCAGGCACAGCAGGTCCCATTGCTGCCTCTTATAACAGTCTGCTTGGAGCTCCTAGAGATATCTAATGTTGCTGCCTCTCTGGCATAGATCTGCCCTCTAATCCTTGATACTAAGCATATGAGTCGTGCTACTCTGCCAAGGCTATGTGCTTCATTTTCCCTGGGCAATGAAAGCTTCACAGCATAACATGCAACAAAGGTCCCAAGTCTGGAATTACTTCATTCGGCATGTGCAGTAACCAGTTGTCTACCAAGGCACTCCAATAATTTTTTTATCGAAATGAAATGAAATTTTATCAGTTGATGCATGCTGTACGTGTAAACATTGAGGTTTTTCATGCAATGATAAATAAATTAGCTTTAAAACAAATGCAGTGAAATCATGATTTAAGATATTATGGACACCACTGTCAAAAAGTTCTGTCACAACAGCTTGATTGGGTCCAGTCAGATGGCTGAGACAACCACTGTATATTATTTTAATGGTCTTTGGTCCTTTTAGATTGTAAAAAGTCCTCTGTAAAAATAGATGTTATTTTGTGTTGGGGTTTTGTAAATGGTGAACAGGAATGGCAGAAAGAGACAAAGATCCCTCTGAGCAAAATAAGCATCTGAAAGTTTTGCATCAAATGTGTGCAGATTTAAATAGAAACAATTTCCTGTTTCAGTGTCAAGTGCACAGTACTGCCTCTAACAACTTAAAATGAACAGGCAACGCGTTGCTCTAACAAAATTATTCTTGAATATCTGGATCTAGAAATATCAGACGAACATACTGCCACAGTTCAAACCTATTAAATCTAAGTACTTAGTAGACTGCAGAGGGCCCCAAATGAAAAAATGGACTAACTCAATATTGAGAGCTCATTTTCACCGGTGTGTCTCAATAGTGGTCGAGGGTCACTGACACTAGACTGGAAAACAAAGTTGAGATCCAGGTTCCAAAAGTATTTTTCTATGATGCTGCACTGTTGTAATCATTTAATTCTTCTTCTGGGGCCACCACTATTTCAAATGTAAATGATACATTTGGTGTGTGAATTACACTGTTTTTAGCTCTTAAATAGACATTATTGAAGGAAAGAGGAAAAACATCACTACAACAACTGACTCCAAACTTTTGAATGGATGTGTATATGTTGTATTATGATGTCCATTAGGTGGCACCAAACAATGTCAAGTAAGTCTTAAATGCCAAGGAGAGAAAATACTGTAGGAAGAGGAATATTACTCCATTTAGACATTAATTACCACATCAGTACAGATGCATGGAGGATCTCTACTCAGACACCCTCAAAGCACTATTAATGCATTGAGTGAGGAGGACTGAAGCTGCTCTGGAACAGACTGGAATTAACTAGATACTTTATTTAATAATATTATAAGAAGTTTGATTGAATTGTTATTTTTGTCCATGTCCAGACACAGAGGTTGTGAGGCCATACACTCCGGTAGATCAGAACCTGGCAGCTGCCTCCCACCACTCCTCACAGGAATCAGACCTCTACCTCATGATCAAAGTTTACCCTGACGGAGTGTTCACCCCACACCTCAACAGCCTGCACATTGGTAAGTCGCAGCCAACATGTCACAGTGTGTCATGAGAGGACAGGAAAGAGGATGTGGGAGAGAGTATATTAAATAAAGATGAAACGATGAAAAAATATTGAATGTACAATATGATAAGGCTAATGACTCACTGAATTAACAAGATGCATGCATATGCATACCGCCACTGAATCTTTAAAGGGGAAATAATGGTTGTTTTTTTTTTTCAACCTGGGCCCTATTTTCTGATTTCCTTTTGTCTAAATGAGTGATAGGATGTTCAAAATTTGACATTTCTCCAGTATGAAGCTAGGGCTGACCTGCCTGCAGCCCGTGAGCGCGCGCGATTCTAATTAATAGGGCACTCAGACAGTGTCAAACAACGTCAAAATACGTCCACTAAAAGTCCATTTTATTCACACAGATAGGCTCGGATTGTTAGTGTAATTATCCGACAACATAACGGAAAGGAGAAATGAACGTCTGTGTTTACCTTTAGCTGGCTGCCTGCTAAAGCCCACATTCAGAACCAGTCATGGCCGCACTTTAGGCCAGAAAATAGATCTGCTAGCAAATATGCAGTTGTAAACACCACTTTGTATGTTTATTAATTGCTTTTAACTCGTTCCAAATTGCCTCTTAATCATCCGGCTCCGGACATCTCCCTCTCTCCCCCAGCCACTCCCCTGGGAGAGAGTCCGGTGGTCCCCTATGAGGCCAGCCTTCGAGACCTGCAACACTTCGTTAAATGTCATTCAGTTCATCAAAAAATATCCCAATTAAAATTAGTAGCATAATAAGCAGATATGTTCTAGAGGAGAGTGGGCAGAAGCTCTGTGTTTACTTTTTGCCTACTTATAATGAACAGCTGAAGATTTAGTAAAATGTTTTTTATCTTTCTCTTTATGGTTCTGGTATTCATCCAGCTGGCTTAATTGTCCCTCATTGCACCCTCTCCTTGTTTCTCTTTACTTCCCCCTTCATGCAGAAGGACAGCTAACAGCTGAAGGAAACGGAGCTCTTAATTGAATCACTTAATATTTTCACCGAACTGATCGCTCTGACCCTGAAACATGCCTGAGTTTCTATTTAAAGAGTCCGAAACATACCCACTGCTCTGCTGCCATAGCAGGTATTTTCAAATACCTGCATTGTAACGGCTCAAATGACAATTATTTTCCACTACTGCTCTCCTGGTGATGTTACATAATGCTAACTTCCTGCTCTACCTTTATATGCTCTCCATTAGGAGCTACTGTGGGCTAGTTTTAGAGGTCAAGTGGAAGTGCACTTCTCTGTGGTTATTATGTAATTTCTAAACCGTCACTCACTTGTAATGATTGTCCCTGTATAGGCCTATAAGGGTCACACTCTCTTGGATGTTCTAATTGTTTAATTCAATTGATATATTCATATTGACATCACTGAATCACAGTTTTTAGGAATGTTCACATCGATCAATTAAAAAGTAGAAACTGAATGAAAATGTTGCCAATTGTCAGTGTGTTTTCACTTCTTTTCGACACTCTTAACTTTATTTAATTTTTGCTTGCACTGTGTGATCTGTAACTATATGCTGTTGTTCACTTCTCTGTTGTCATTCTCTAGGTGACTGTATATCCGTTAGTGGTCCAGAGGGTCCCTTCAGTCTCCGGCCCCTTCGTGATGTCACATACCTCTACCTATTAGCAGCAGGCACAGGGTTCACGCCCATGGCTCGCCTCATCCAACTGGCTCAACAGGACATTGACACCATCAGGTGGGAGCTATCAGAAAATTCAGATCGGGAGTCACAACACTTTAACCATGATTCCACCAAACACTTAGGATATGGTACCCTTACAACCGAATGTAACCCACACGCACATGCACCTAAACTATAGATCTGTTTTGCGTCTCCAATGTATACAGTGCTCTTAATGTAGGTGGGGCTTTTACCTGATGGTAATAGCCACTGTTACCTGATGGTAATAGCCATGTCACTGCTCCACCCAGCTCTCGCTCCATTTGCTCTTCACAGACAGGGGAGAGGATCGTCTGCACCTCCCTAATTGTCCACAGAACAGGGTTGACAACATTTTAAGAACCAAAAAGATCAGGTGGGAGTATTTAGAGGAGGATTTTGCACTGCCAAAGTGCACAGGAATGAGACTCTTTTTTTTCAAAGTGAGGAAGTAGAATTTGCAGTTTGCATAAAACTGGAAAAATTCATATACATTTGTTCAACGCTTGAAGATCCAATCTTTACCAGCACGGTGAATTCAGATATTTTTTTCTCAGTCTTAAGCTGCTAACTGTTAACTAGTAAAGATCAAAAGGCAACAAAGCATCCTTTAATTTTATAGTTGTAGTCATTTTATAGAGTTGGCTTTAGTATGAACACTTAATTTTTCATACAGTGGTTACAGTGGAATGAAACGGTTCTGTTGGTACCATCCACAACTTATTCATACTAATTATTATTATTTTTTTTTTTAAATTGTCTTTCCCTATATTGCCTCTGTATTTACACATGGAAGCCCCTTTACTTAACATGCTCCCTGGGCACTTTAACATAAAAGTCACAATGTCAATCTTACGAGGTTGGACCAGTAACATATCTGTATCATCTTCAACCGAACACAAGTCTGAATTATATGCAGTCAAATTACCATAAAGATTACAGCAGGATGAGGGGACACATGCCGAGTGAGTGAGTGAGTGAGTGAGAGTGAGAGAGAGAGAGAGAGAGAGAGAGAGATGTATGTGTTTTTAAAGAAGCAATAGTCTTCATCAGTGCACACCTAATCTAAATGTTAATCCCTAATATTAAGTTTAAGTATTGTTGTTCTAGCTTTAAATGTGAAGTTAGAATTGAGAGTGTTGTAGGACTGTGAGGTGAAATATGTCTGTGTCTCTATGTGAAATGGTCATATTAAAAGATGTTTAATAACATTTAATGACAATTGTATCTACAACTCATAGGAAGAAATGTATTTCCCCTATAGAGAAAAAAGACTCCTTGTCCTCACTGTTGTCGTCAACCTTTCCCATCCAAAGCACTCAGTACTGTTTGCGTCACTGATTATAAATCCAAGGCCCTGCCTGATAATCCACAACATGTTTGTGTGTCCTCAGAACAATCAAGCTGCTCTTTTTTAACCGACGAGAGGAGGACATTCTGTGGCGCTGTGAACTGGATGAACTGGCTGCAAATAGTGAGAGGTATGGCAGCTGTGTGTTTGTGTTTAAAGCCTCATAGTGTTTGTCCCTGTTACACCACAGCCTGCAAATGTTAGTTGTTAGAAATGAAATTCGTGAAGTGTGTAAGGGAGTGGTGTGAGGACAGCACAGTGTGGGCTGCTGTGAATTAAGAGATTTCTGAGAAAGAAGCAGAGGAGAAGACAATTCACAGGCAGAGAGAAGGAGAGAGAGGGGGAGTTGTCACCAGTTCACCTGTTATTGATTATAAAATGATAATTAGTGTCTACAAACATTTCCCAATATGCCTTTATAACCATTTATATTTGGGGAAAATATTGAAGAGAGAAGATCTGAACTGGGCCTGTGTCTTCTTTCAGTTGTATTTAGGTGCATCCACTTTAATAATCCATGTGGAAATGCTGATATGGCAATACGTTAAGATAAAGTGCACCTATTACAATATACAGACTATAAATAGTTTTGCATTGACAGGATGATCCCACAAGGCTTCTGGTTGGTTGCTCCTAACTTTAACACCCCTCTGTATGGATTTTAAGCAGATTTGATAACTACAGTCAGTGGCAATTTGGTTGCCGCTTTACAATAAAACATTACGTGCTGCCTGGTGCTAAAACAACACGCTGCATTGTATGCATTACAACATAATTTTAAAAAGAAGGAGAGATAAATTGGAAGTGTATAAAAATAGTTATGAAGGCTAGCAACAGACAAAGACTTGCCGATTAGCAGAGATGAGGCACTCGAGTCACAAATCTGAGGACGAGAGACTTGCTTGACTAACACTGAAAAAGACTCAACTTGACTTTGACTTTCTGTTCATGACTTGAGACTTGACTTTGACTTGAGACAGATGACTTCAAAAGTACTTGACTTAATTTAATATTTGTATTTTTCTAGATATTGAAAAGTTATTTTTCATTTCTAACTGTGATGACATACAGTACAGGCCAAAAGTTTGGACACACCTTCTCATTCAATGCGTTTTCTTTATTTTCATGACTGTTTACATTGTAGATTCTCACTAAAGGCATCAAAACTATGAATGAACACATGTGGAGTTATGTACTTAACAAAAAAAGGTGAAATAACTGAAAACATGTTTTATATTCTAGTTTCTTCAAAATAGCCACCCTTTGCTCTGATTACTGCTTTGCACACTCTTGGCATTCTCTCCATGAGCTTCAAGAGGTAGTCACCTGAAATGGTTTTCACTTCACAGGTGTGCCTTATCAGGGTTAATTAGTGGAATTTCTTGCTTTATCAATGGGGTAGGGACCATCAGTTGTGTTGTGCAGAAGTCAGGTTAATACACAGCCGACAGCCCTATTGGACAACTGTTAAAATTCATATTATGGCAAGAACCAATCAGCTAACTAAAGAAAAACGAGTGGCCATCATTACTTTAAGAAATGAAGGTCAGTCAGTCCAGAAAATTGCAAAAACTTTAAATGTGTCCCCAAGTGGAGTCGCAAAAACCATCAAGCGCTACAACAAAACTGGCACACATGAGGACCGACCCAGGAAAGGAAGACCAAGAGTCACCTCTGCTTCTGAGGATAAGTTCATCCGAGTCACCAGCCTCAGAAATGGCAAGTTAACAGCAGCTCAGATCAGAGACCAGATGAATGCCACACAGAGTTCTAGCAGCAGACCCATATCTAGAACAACTGTTAAGAGGAGACTGCGCGAATCAGGACTTCATGGTCAAATAGCTGCTAGGAAACCACTGCTAAGGAGAGGCAACAAGCAGAAGAGATTTGTTTGGGCCAAGAAACACAAGGAATGGACATTAGACCAGTGGAAATCTGTGCTTTGGTCTGATGAGTCCAAATTTGAGATCTTTGGTTCCAACCGCCGTGTCTTTGTGAGACGCAGAAAAGGTGAACGGATGGATTCCACATGCCTGGTTCCCACTGTGAAGCATGGAGGAGGAGGTGTGATGGTGTGGGGGTGTTTTGCTGGTGACACTGTTGGGGATTTATTCAAAATTGAAGGCACACTAAACCAGCATGGCTACCACAGCATCCTGCAGCGACATGCCATCCCATCCGGTTTGCGTTTAGTTGGACGATCATTTATTTTTCAACAGGACAATGACCCCAGACACACCTCCAGGCTGTGTAAGGGCTATTTGACCAAGAAGGAGAGTGATGGAGTGCTGCGGCAGATGACCTGGCCTCCACAGTCACCGGACCTGAACCCAGTCGAGATGGTTTGGGGTGAGCTGGACCGCAGAGTGAAGGCAAAGGGGCCAACAAGTGCTAAACACCTCTGGGAACTCCTTCAAGACTGTTGGAAAACCATTTCAGGTGACTACCTCTTGAAGCTCATCGAGAGAATGCCAAGATTGTGCAAAGCAGTAATCAGAGCAAAGGGTGGATATTTTGAAGAAACTAGAATATAAAACATGTTTTCAGTTATTTCACCTTTTTTTGTTAAGTACATAGCTCCACATGTGTTCATTCATAGTTTTGATGCCTTCAGTGAGAATCTACAATGTAAATAGTCATGAAAATAAAGAAAACGCATTGAATGAGAAGGTGTGTCCAAACTTTTGGCCTGCACTGTATATGTCACAACGTGGGAGATATTCATGCCCACACTATGACAGCACTGTTCTTCTGCCTGCAGCTCTCCTCAGAGGAATGGCAGTACATACAGCGGCATCATGAGCATGAGGTTCTGACACAGCCACAGTGTGTAACGACTCTTCCTGCCTGCTGTCCCAACATAGGTTCACTATCTTTGAGAGTGTGTGTCAATTGCCATGCGCATCTGCGCGCCATGAAATAGTTTCCCCAGTGATTTTCTTTTTTTTGGCCTCCCGTCCTTGCTCAGCTTGCATTCGGGGATTTTAACAGTGTTATTATCTCACCTGCTGTTGCACAGCAGCAGGTATGTTATGTAAGTGGAGTCTTTCACCCTGACCAGAGGGCTTGGAGCAGGAGAGGAAGTATTTTAATCTTTTACTCTGAAAAAAAGTTAAAATCCTACATTTTAAATATTAGATAAATAAAAGTGAAAATGTACTAAAATTGTTAGAAGTAAAAATACTGTAAAAATGTCCCCTGTGACTGTTGTAGTCTACTACTATGTATGATCTCATTAGATGATTCTGACTCATGCATTAATGCAAAAGCATTTCGTGTAGTTGGTTGAGGTTCATTTTTAACTATAGAAATCAGGATTTGTAGTACACGATGTATTGCTGCTCCTGTGCTTTATTCCCACACCAAACAAATAAGCTTATGTGTTTGGTGTGGGAATAAAGCACGGGAGCAGCAATACATCGTGTGCGACAAATCCTGATTTCTCAAGTTTTTCCTTTGATGTCAGCACCGATTGAAATAAGTTGATTCGGAGGATGTGCATTCTTTATATTTGTTTCATTTTTAACTATAAACTTATAATTATTTTTTTTACGGGTTAATCTGCTGATTATTTTCTCCATTAATTGATTGGTTTGGTTTGTTAAAATTCTGTGAATAGTGAGAGATAGTGTCACACTTACCAAGAGCCCAAAGTGACATAATTTCATCTTCATAATTTTGTCCAACCAACAGTTCAAACCTCATAAAAATTGCTAAATAATAAAAAGTAAAAACATCTTCACATTTGTGAAGCTGGAACCATGAAATGTTTTTGCTTTAAAAACAACTTAAATGATCATCAAAATGGTGAAAATTTTCTGTCAACTCATTACTTGACTCATAATTCCAGCAGTACTTGAACATTTTCATATGTTTCAAGTGCAAAATTTTATTTAAAAGTAGGATTAAATGTAACTGGGATTAAAAGTAACTAATAATTAAAGCTGTGAGAAAAATGTAGTGGAGGAGAGGTAGATGGTGGCATGAGAAGAAAAGACTCAGATTTGTACTCACAGTAGCTGAGTTAATGTGTTTAGTTTAGTATCTTATATTATCTATATGAGTTTCTGAGTATGACTTGACCTGACTTACCTTGACTTGCTTGAGACTTGAAGGTTATGACTTGAGACTTGCTTATGACTTGCACATGTGCGACTTACTCCCACCTGGCGAATAGACTCCACCCATGTGAAGCATCTTCAGGAAGTGTTCATAGGCCCAAGGAGGACAGGAGATAGGACAGGATCCCCTGGATGCTGGTAGTAGAACAGTATAGCCTTAGTTAAATGTCCCTCAACTTCATGAAGGTCAAGGTGAAGGGGAAGAGATGCGTTGCAAAGCAGGAGGTCTTAAAAACAGAATTAATGAATTCAAGATTTTTTTAAAAAAACAACATCCAGGGATTGATTAGCTTGAGGAAAGCAGACAGTAGGTTCATTGGTCAGATTCACAGAATTGTGAATGTGGAGATGTTGACAGCGTGGAAAGTCTGAAGTGTGATGTAAAAGATAAAAGATAACATTTGTGTTGAGGCAGTTAAATCATGGGAGACTTATTTTAAAGTGAAAAGTAATTTATTACAAAACACACAATAAGATGAATGGTGAAAAGTTCTTTGGTGATTAGACCCCGAGTATTTAGGGGGTAAAAGACAAAAAAAAAGACAACTGACAGCAACACAGAGGAGAACAGCTTTAAAACTTGACAGCAACGATATGATTGTCTTAGAGAGATTGTGGCAAAATCTGGTTGGATTATTTTGGGGTGACACCCATAGGAGCAGAGTGAGTTGTGAATGAATTGAGAGTGTAAAGAGAGTCAGTCTGTCTGAACTCTGCAAAGCATAATGTGTGAAATGCAAATAACTCTCAGCTTTACAAATTTTTCTGCTAAATCTGAACCTCAGTGTCTTAGTATTTGTGTGTGTGTGTGTGTGTGTGTGTGTATGTGTGTCTCAGGTTTCAGGTGGAGTACGTCCTCTCTGATCCGTGTGAAAGCTGGACAGGCCTGAAGGGACAGGTGGATGAGTCCATGCTCAAGGATTTCCTCAAAAGGCCAGATGGCTCCAAATGCTATGTGTGTGTGTGCGGCCCCACTGCCTTTACAGAGCTGACTATAGGGTGTGTAATGAAACCTGTATCATTGTTTTAGTGCTCTGAGAAAAGAATGCATTTTACAGGATATGTTCTTTTTCTACAATGTAGGTCTTATTTTTGTAGATCTGGCAACAATGTCTTTCAGTTATTATAACATCATACTCTCCGAAGTAATTGCTGAGATTTGGGAACACTGTATCATCACAACAACAAAGTAGTTGTAGTGACATTTGTGATTGTTTAGTTTATATATGCAAGGAGGCTACTCTGCTGAGAGTTTAAAAAACAGGAGGTTGTCGTGATCAGCCATGTTTTTTTTCTTTATGTTTGCCATCATTTACCTGGAAGGCTGGTTGGTCAGAAGTTGGAATTTTGACTGGGAAATTTCAACCTCTGACTTTGATGGGAACACAGTAGAAGGTTGTGGTGACAGAACTACACAATCTTATTAGGTAACTGGTCTGGGCTCCAGTATAACATACATTTCAGCATACATTTAGAAAGGGCCTGTCTGGTTCAAGCTTTGTGACGTTTTGTTGACCAACTAAAAATCTTAAATTTTTCAAAAATCGTTATAGTGAGATAGTCGCTATTCACGGATAAGAGTTGTGAGCCACAATATCTCCATATTGGAAATTTGCCGTTAAAGGTCCAGTGTGTAAAATTTAGGGGGATTTAGTTGCAGATTGCAACCAGCTGAAATTTTTCCAGTTAGAATTCCATCAGTGTTCAGGGAGTTTTTACCAGGAGCTAAATTGTCCACCGATGTCTCCTCCTCTCGAAACAAACACACCAGGTGAATCAAAACCAGTTAAAACACTGAATAAAGCAGCTTCATGTTATATACCAGTGTTTCTTTGACGCCATTTGGCATGTCGGAGACGGCCAGCCTTCTCAGCATCTGCAAATGTTTGCTCACCTTATTTTTGATCCAGAGGTTCAGTAGGTTTTTACCATGATCCGAACTATCCACAGAGGTCTCTCCCTCCCCAATGGCCCTATCGAGAACCAGTGTTTATCCATTTTTGTCCATTCTGGGCTACTGTAGAAACATGCCGATCTTCATAGACGAGTATCTGCCCCCTATATAGATATAAATGGCTCATATTAAGCTAACGAAAACACAACAATTCTTAATTTCACTAAAAAATTATATGAGTATACCTTAGAGAAAACAAACATATTCCATATCTGCCAATATATCAGCCTGAATCCTCCACACTGGACCTGTGAATGGGTGTGATGGTTATTTGGAGAGACACATAGTAGTTACAGATTTATGGCCCAGCCCCAGATACACAGCTTGAAAAACTATGTATAGGTTGAAGCACTTCACACCGCAGACTTCAGTGATTCTTGATTGTATCATCTTTGTCTTGCACTCAGCAGTTTCTTACCTTACTCTCTTTTCCTGTTTGTTTCTCTTTCAGGTTGTTGAAGCAGCAGAGCTTCAGCGAAGAGGAGCTCCACGCCTTCCAGGGCTGATGTGCTCGGCTCCGACCCAGTTCCACTCTGCAAAGACTGTGTGCCTGAGAGTGAGTGAGTGAGTGAGTGAGTGAGAATGAGAGAGAGAGAGAGAGAGACCATATTTATAAACTTGTGTTTGTGAGAAATGAATGGAACATTGTATTTCTATGCACCAAGAACCTGACGATGCTTATAGCAGGCATCACACCTCAGGCTTTGATGGGCTGTAAAAAATCTTCTGATTCTGGACAGTTTGGTCAGTGTTTGATACAAAGTTAATATAACTCTGAAATAAAAGGTTAAACATTGTAAAGGTGTAGAATAAAAGCAGGAAATGTAAGAGAAATGACTGAGATGATGTAAACTGCTGGTGTATATGCAATAATAAAATAGAAATAAAATGACCAGAGTGTAGCAAAGGATCTTGTGAAGTTACAATATTCATGGGTGTTACTGTTCAGTTACATGGATGCAGTTGCAGGAGAGTTATAACCACTGCAGTGAAATAAAATGCATTAGTGTGACATTTTTAAAGGTTGCTCTCTCATTCATTTAGCCTGGGCCAATTTTCATTACTATTCTGATTGTTATCTTGACTCACCCCAGTTTAATTTTGAGTCATCAAATTGACCTTTATGAGAAGAGATTATTTGTTTAACCCTTTTTAAGAGCACCCACAGGCTAAAACCTGCTTCTGCTGCCTTATATACAGTGAACCTTGTCACACACAGAAAGGAAACACTGTGATGTAACACTGTACCATAGTGTGGTGTTATATGACTGTTCAGATGCGGTGAACAATGCACACATGTTTCACAGTTAGCAATCACACACTGATGTTACACTTTAATTATCAGGAGTAGGGCTGCACAATTTAACAACAAAGCACTTTCATCACAATATCAATATGCGCGATGTAGATGTTGCAAAAGACTGAACTACGATAAATAGTATATTTGCATGTGTCATGCATTCATGTGATGCATGTCGTGTTGAAACAGTGGCATCTGGTGACTTAAAGCCTGCTAGTTTTGAAAGTATTTCTCGTGACAGAAACCACAGAGTGAAATTTGTGTTTAGGGTGTTATTAGCATATGGTCTGTGATGTCTCAGTGTCTTTCTTGGGCTCTGCATAAATCTGACACCTGTCCACCTTCCCAACCAGAAGTTCACTGCACCGCAATTTCCCAGTAAAGATGGCATGGAGTTCCCTAGGGACTGAGGGTAGACAGTAACCTTGTATTTTAAGGTTCATAAAATATGCTGAATTCATGCATATGTAGGAAATGACAATAGTCATTCCTGCTATTTTACATCATAATGTCTGCTGTGACGGCAGATGCTGTATGTGCTCATGTCAGTGGCCAGGGTAGGCACCGTTTTTCTCTCCTGATGATGTTACACTGTGATAATGTGATTGTGCTACTGATCGATACTGTACTGACTCATTTTAATGATAACCTGATGATATTTTATTATTCAGGGGACAAACTGTGTTGATTGTATTTTTACTGGTGGCTGCCATTTTCTTACTGCATATATTTGTTCATAATCTCAATAAGCTAAAAGATAACATAAAAACTCTTCTCAGAATAACAGAGAATAAGTATATTCCCCAAAATGTTGAACTGTGAAATTTCTACAATAAGTTTTTTAGGATTATTCAAAGAAATTCTATGTATAATCCATAAAATGATCACCAGTCATTCCCGGGGGCTTAATTGGAAATATCTTAACATAACTATGTTTAAAAGTGCAAGAACTGAGCTAATCAGTAATATGGCGGTGGGATTAAAGGGTTGTGGATCAGTGACACGATGTGAAATGTAAATGGAGTTCATCTTGTAGTGAGCTTGGACATCAAGAGTCACAGTGAGAGGTCAAACACATGAGAATATGGATATCTGAGAAGGGTTAAAGAATTAAAAAAAAGCTGGAACTGTCAGGTTTTAAGTGTCATGAGCTCATGTCAGGGGGTGGGGACCCCTACAAAAATAACTGGTCATAAGATGATAACTGAGGTAGGAAACAGAGAGGGCACTGTTTTTTATTAAATGGTCTCACCACCAGTTTATACATGAACTTGAGTTTACTCCTCATAAGGGGTACTTAGTCTGTGAAAACCTATATATAAAATCTTGCATAGTTTGTGAGGAACTTTCCCAACATTTCAAAAAACCTGAAAAAATACTGTAATTCTGATAATGTTTCATCTTAGCTTGCAAAGTAGATATGTCAAAGACATGGCCACTCAGGAGGCATGGTGGATCTAATGAAAGATGCTCTGCCTCTGCAGCTTCAGTTTAATCATTCTCTTTTCAAAGTGTGTCTAGTGAGCTCCCCAACTTTATGGACTTCAAGGTGTAACAGCTAAAGCAAGCATGCAGCTGTGACACAGGGTTGCAAGAAGACACAGCTCTATATTAAGTAAATCAAAATGGTTAAAAATAACACCACTGCTCCCCATCACCTTACCTCCTGTTGGCAGCTTGTGACAGCTCCTCTGCCTGGTTCCTCTGCTGCTTCTGTGTGTTTGGCTGCAGACCAGTTTTGATGCCCCTGCATGCACAAATTAGCCAGAGTCTGCAGGTAGAATCCTGGACATGCAAATGCACAGAGAGAATGGTCAATGGAATAGACTGAAAATGGCCCGCAGACTTTGGATTAGACATTACTAGTAATTTTATGTGACCACACAAAACTTCTGATGACAACAGCAAAACTAAGACACAATTTGTAGTTGTAAATACAAAAAGGGGAGTTTTTTTGTTCCTGGATATTTCGACAGTTTATGCCATAACCTTTGGTGGAACAGTGAAAGGAGCTAAACAACGCTGGGATTCTCAGGATTCATTTGAGGTGTCGTTTGTGTGCATAGCGTGAAATGAAAGATACTGAGAGCACTGTAATGCAGGCATGCACCGTGTTCTGACAGCAGATGCTTTTTGCTTGCTGTTTGATTGCAGTTGGGTTTAGGTAGAAATGGTTAGCTCGCTAGTCAAGCTTCTTCAGGTCAAAGCGGCAACATGACGACGTCCTCATGTGTTTAAATGCCCTGGGAAGTGTTTGCTTACAAGAAGGCTGGGCGGCTCCACCCCTGGTGCCAGGGGCACACATTTTCAGAGGTAAGGACATGCTTGTCAGCATAGACATATATACATAGATGCCGCATCGACTGCCTGAGCGCGTCCTCACCGGCCGCCATCTTGGATGGGTCTCGCTTCGCCTCCACAGTGCATTCACTTCTATTGAGGAAGGAGCTGTATCCACAAGTAAAATAGAATAACTCATTGAATTTTCAACTGATTTTCACGCGGTTTGGTTTGTTACAAACGGCACACATGTAGTTATGATACAGGATGCGTTCGTACATAAAAAATGCGGGATTTCATGCTTTAATACTTTCTGCAGATAGCAACAGCATGTTATTTAGGTCACAACACAGTTCTTTTATTCACCTCAACCCCAGAGTGGGATATATATATATAT